TACAGAAAATAAATTAATATTTATAAAATATGGTATGTATATATATTTCTAACTTATAGATTTCTACAACTCTGAAATTAAATAACCATAGTGCTATGTTTCACCTTATATACCAAGTAAATATGTGCACATTAAGATAAATATTTATTTTAATAGCTTATGAAAATGGAAAAAATATTCATTTAACAAACCACATAACAATAACACCGATAAGTCACTTTAATTTATATAGTACTCCATGTTAATAAATTCCTTAAGTATTATTTTAAATAAGTTTATACATTTTGCTTGAAACATTATGTCATATTAATATTGACGATTTAGTTTTAAGCACTCTATGATATACAAAACAATACTACACAAATCTAATCATGTGAATCATGTGATATAACAAATTCAAAATGTTCAGTGCTAGGGTGCAAGCTGAGTTTCAACTTAATATGAGGAAAATAATACTACTAGGATCTAAATTCCTTTTAATAATAAAATAAATTTCTAATAAAAAATAAAAAAGACACTAGAGTTTGTACTTAACATGTGGAAAAATTGCAACAACTCTGTTCAAATACATTCATAAAGTCACATAAATAGATACAACAAGAGTTTATATATTTTACGATTAGGTTTCTACTAAATACATATCACGCAAAAAATACTATAAATTCAAACTAGAGGTCCCTAATGGAGCCTCCATGTTAATCCTCACAAGACTCGATTGGAAAACAATAGATATATCCTAGAGAATTTCACAGAAACAGAAACATTTGACTATTAATTTGGCATAATAACTTGATCATCATTGATAATAATAGTATTGGATCTATTCTATTTTTAAATAATTATCCACATCTGCTATTGTGTAAAACAACATAAACTAAGGAATGACTCTAGGTTTAGATTACCCACCTATGCCATTAAAAATATGACCTAAAGTAGAACTAAATTTGCATCTAATTACCCATGTCCTCCTATTACAATAGATAGATTACATAACCTAATTTTCATCTCATTATTAGAAAAATTAAATACGCCCTCAACCCTAAATCTAAATTCTCAACATCTTCTTACAAAAAATGTTTAAATAACCATAGAGCATATATATATATATATATATTTCTACATTACCCACTTCTATCGGTATTAATATATTAAGATTTGATAAAAGTAACCATACACGTCATGCTAGCTGAAATGTCATATTATGTTTCTACATTACCCACTATGTCATACTATTTATATAGGTTGTTACTTTAGATATAGTTATACATTTTAACTAAAATGTTTGACACATGTATATTGAAGTATAGTTATAACTGCACCTATGATTCCTTGATAGAAAATTTTGATCACCTTGAGGAGTATGAGAGACAACTGATGGCTATATTTTCCTAGCCGTTGAAGATGACTTTGGCGTAAAAAGTCGATCATTATAAGGCTTAAGTGTTAAAATTCTATTGAGGTAGCATAACTACCCCCATCCGAGATAACACTTCAAGCTTTATCACTTATGTTAAGTGATATGGTGCAGGTTTCAAATGATTGATTTTGGTTTTTTTTTTGACCAAAGATTGATTGTGGTATTGTAGTATTTAAGACTATACTCTATGACCTAAAATCCTTATTTTAAAAAGAGAAAAAGGGAGTTAATAAAAGATATAATAAGCACAAGAGTTTTAACTTAACTTGAGGATAAAAAGAATCCATAGGAATCAATAAGAACAAAATTTGAAAATTTAAAATGTAGATTCATAACTTCGTAAGGTATATGATGCAACAAGAGCCACCATAATTAATGGTAAGGTTTCAAATTAACAGCATATTTAAACAATACAAAGCTGACATGCAAAGTACAATCTGAATATGAATGAAAAAAATGTATAGATCTGATCTTGCAAAAAAATAGTAATAAGTTATGATAACTAGATATAGACTATGAATATCTATTATGTCTATTATATCAAAAACAAGCAAAGAGAAAAACATACAATTTAATATAAGTAACTTTGATTAGTCATACAATAATTAAATTTGTACCAAGCAATAGAAAATAAAATTTGAAAAATTAAAATTTAGATTCATCACTTCGTAAGGTATATCATGCAATAAGAGCCACTATAGTTAATGGCAAGGTTTAATTGCATATTTAAACAATACAAAGGTGCCATGCACAGAAAAATTATGAATATGAATGAAAAAAATGTATAGATGAGCTACTTGCAAAAAAAATTATTAATAAGTTTATGATAACTAGATATAGCCATGCCTATTATGTTGAAAACAAAGAGAAAAAGGTATAATTTGATATAATTAATTCTTTATTTGTCATATGTATTAAATAATAATTAATACATATATCTGCTAAAATACTAGCCTGTACGATAGTACGCGTTGATGAACTAGTTTAACCTAATAATGATTCCATAAAACTCAGAGAAACAAACAAATTTCAAGCAACACGCATAAGTTTAACATTTTTGTTAAAATATCGTGTCTCTAGCTATATTATGCACCTCTACATGAATATTTCATGAGCCGTTGGCTGCTGAATTGGAGCCTGACTGGATTCATGATGAGTAAGTTACACGAACGCATACCCCTCTGTCCATTCTCTTGCAACCACAAGCAATGCATGACCGAGTTGCTAACCTTCCTTGTTCATACATAACCAACACCGCATACATATCCATATATGTGGATACATTTGAAGATCAATAGCTCCATGTCACACTTAACCGACCTGCACACTAGTACACTCCAGATATCCTGTCTAGATCTGTACACACCTCTCCCAACAAAGGCCATACATCACTCCTGATGATGGAGGCGTACATTGTTCAAACAATCAACAACGAATTTGGTCTTCGTTCCTTTATTTCACAAGTCCTTAGATAAGTTATTTGACCCAGGCCACAGGGTTAGCAAATCCTGAAGTCAAAAGCTGCTGATCTAATGGAGATAGATCACATGATGGTACAACACATGTGGTTGTTAGACAGAAGGGCTTGTCGCAAGCTTAGCTAGGTTCCAAACAAATGCTGACAAAGAGAGAATAATGGCCAATCAGCTCTAGGCGAGTCAAAATTTATAGCAGTGCTCTCCATGAATATTAGCACTGACAGCCCTTTGCCTTTTATGAGCGATGACCAAATAAATCATTGGAGCATTCTTCTTCTTGATCGTTGACCATATTAGATCCTACTCCCTTCGTCCCAAAATAAGTGACGTTTTTACTTTCAGACATCTTGTTTGATCGTTCTTCTTATTCAAAATTTTTGTATAAATATTATCTATTTTATTATGACTTATTTTATCATTAGAGATACTTTAACAATGATTTATTTATTTTATTATTACACAATTTTTTTTTGAATAAGACGAGCAGGTTAAACAAGATTTGAAGTCATAAACGTTGCTTATTTTGGGACTGCAGGGAGTACATCTCTACCAAAAGTGGATTTGTACCTCCAATTCATAGTCTTAAAATAACCTTGAGATGACGATTGAGACTACATCGTAATAATTCTAGCTATTTGTATATAATTTAACCATGTAAAAAGCAAGCCATGTCGGTCTTTTGTATTACTGGATCCATTCTGCTTCATTATTGCATTGTCAAAACATGTTACAGATGAGTCCTTTTCTACCGAATAATCTTAACTACACGTGCCTAGTTGACGTATGAGAGAATGAGGGAGGAATATCAATGTTTTGTGTTATCCTATTCGCATAATGGTTTCATGCATTTGAGCTACGGAATCTTGGTATTGCTAATTGGAAGATCTTATTCTCAAAAAAAAATGGAAGATCTTAAATTCTCCATGTTAATTGTCACAGAGATGCATCACTAGAAAAACAAATCCTAGAAAGTACAACATAAGTACCTACAACTGATTCAGTGTACTATATATTATGCCGTCAACACAATAATAGCCATTATAATTATTTTGTTTTTAAAAATTATCGATGGATGACATTATGAAAATACTCTAAAGTAACCCTCTAAATCTATATATAAACTTCCAACACAACTGCAATTATGAAAAGACATTAAGAAACCCCATAATCTTCACCTTATTAATCATCTGTCATTACAAAAAATAATGTAAAATGACCTCCTAAATCTATATCTAAATTAGTTATCATAGTCATTATTAAAAATAACATTATATGTATAACCACCACCTATGGTATTATTATAGTGCTCTAAGTTTGTGTGTCATTAATTCCTATAGAAAGGTCATCACTTCTGGCTGAAACCCCCCATTGCTGCCGGTTTTCGCCTTCGGCGGTGAATTACCAGCGGTGGTGGCTATGGTTATCACCACTAGTTCAAAGTATGGTCTCATAGACAGATAGACTGGATAAGTCTAAGTGGGTCTTATATTTTGGTACGGAGGAAGTAATAGAAATGGGAAAGTATACTAAGTAATTGGTGTTGCGATATTATTGTATTACAATATGCACAAATTAGAGAGCAAAGATAAACATTATCTTTGTTGTAGCCCCTAAATCTATCCAAAAATTTCTGACACTTATTTGTTTCAAAATTACTAGCATGACAAGAGCATGGGTTGTTGATGAACTAGTATAAACCAGAGGTTATTTGAAAATATTAACTTTGTGGTTTTTTATATTTTGTTGTGAGTTCATTAACTTTGTTATATTATGTCGGTTATACTAAAAAAGAAGAAATCTTGATTAGGCAGCACAACAAAACAATCCTAATTAAAGGGTCAAACAAGGGAGTGAAGCAAAGGTACAATTAAACAACCATCGACCACAGCTAGTGGGAATGGGAACTCGACAAGGACAGCACAACGTAAATATCTGACACATTTTGTTTCACCACGTAAGTATGTTATTCTCGCTGCTTTTTTCGGTTCGTCGTGGTCCGCACAATCTAGACCTAGCTAGTGTTTGACCTATCATCAACAAATACATTTCTCAATCTTGCCACCCAAGAGGGCAAGGGTAAAAAATTACATCCCACCCTTAATTTCTTATATGCACTTGTTCCATTTCTCTACGAAGCAGCTGAGTCGTCGTAGTGCAACATCGAGCGTCTCCAAGCTCATGTTGGCGAAGCACACCCTGAACCACCCTGGCTCCGAGCAATGGCACGAAGATCCCGGCGAGATGTTGAGCATGGCCTCGGCGATCACCCGCCGCCACAGCCTCAGCTCCCCGGCAACCGTAGACTCATCGAGTAGCGGCCGCATGTCCACCCACACGAACAACCCAGCGTTGCTACGCAGGCACGCAACGCCAGCGCGCGCGAGCCCGGCTACGACGTGGTCGTGCCGCTCCCGGAGGCGGGCGCGGTTGGCGTGGACGTACGCCGCGGCGAAGCCCGCGTCCGACAGCATCGCCGACAGCGTGCGCTGCGTCTGCGACGAGACCAGCGTGAAGCTCGACATGCGGCGGGCCGTGGCCACCACGGCGTCGTTGTACGAGTACACCACGCCGACGCGGAACCCCGGGAGCCCGAGGTCCTTGGAGAGGCTGTACACGACGTGCACGCGCGCCGCGACGCTGCGGTGGCCGCCGCCGTCGTCGCCGCCGCGGCACGCGCGGTCCTCCACGACCTCGGCGACTCTGACCAGGTCCGGCGCGGCGGAGACGGAGCCGGAGTAGATCTCGTAGGAGACGAGGTGGATGTCGTTGCGCGCCACGAAGTCGACGATGTCCTCCAGGACGGCCCTCTCCACCGTCGTGCCGAGTGGGTTGGACGGGTTTGTCAGAATGACGCCGCGGACGCGGATCCCAGCCGCCATGGCCTCGTCATACGCGGCCTGGAGCGCACTGGCGGTGACCTGGAACCCGGTGACGCTGCTGCAGTGCACGGGCACGATGTTCACGCCCGTTCTCCACCGCAAGTCCCTGTCAAACCTGCATGTAATGCAACAGAAAAATGGCAATTGGCAAGAAAAGGCATGACACTTGATTAAGTAGCATGTCTCCACGATAGAAACTTGAGATAATCTGCCATGGGCTAGCTATGGGCAATGGAACAGTACGTGTTTACCCAGGGTAGTATGGAGTGGGGACGAGGAGACTGTCACCAGGGTTGGCAAGAATGAATGTCAGCAGCTCGTTGGCAGCCGTGGCGCCGGCGGTGAGCACGATGCGGTCCGGGTCAAACCTCGCCTTGCCTCCCCTTATCGTCTCCATGAACCTCGCCATTGCCTTCAGGTCGTGAGTCATAGCAAACATCACACGGTGGTCAGCTCAGCCGTCTGTAACTTTAAGAACGAAAGCACACGATTTGTTTGGTTTCAAGACTTGCATATCTTTACCATCCGGAAGGATTTGAGCCCATGGTAGTCCTGGAACAGGGCGTTCTCTCGGAACCCGACGCCGCAGTGAGATGCCGCGGGGTGTTCCCTGAGGTACGCTTCCAGGAGATCAAGGGACACCTGCCCCACCAGGACTATTCAATCAGCTTCATGATAGAATCGAATGAACATGCAGCGTTCTGATAGTTTGAACATTGTCAGCTAGCTAGTAAGCCTACCTGGTTCTCGGCAAGGCCCATCTGGATGACACCGGAGGGGTTGGTGACGGGGTCGTAGGGATTCTTATCGTAGGCTCTCCACCCGGAAAAGTAGGGTGAATCCTCTCCATGTGCCGTCGAGGTTGCAATATACGACAGCGAGGGCTGGAGCAAAGAAGAAGCAAGAACCCTGCCACCCATCACGGGCTAGCGCTGAGTCTGTGATCAGGCAGGGGCAGAGATAGGCTAGAGAAAGGTTTAGAAAGGGCGAGCGCTCGCTCTCTCCAAGAAAGTTGAAGGCTTGGAATGCCAATTGGACAGCGCACGGCAGGCAATACAGGCTCGCGTTGATTGGTATATATACAGATATATATGCGTATATAATATATGCTATATCTGTGTGAAAATGTCAAATTAAGGCACAGTTCCACCTAGACTTTTGGGTGTCAATGATTGGCGATCTCCCAATATTCTTTTGTGTTCAGGGTCATAGAGACGAGTGAGATCTTACATATGCGTAGTCCCTCCTCAAATGTACTCCCATGGTACAAAAATTAATCAACTTATATAGTGTCTTAAGTCAAACTTTTCTAAGTTTCACCAACTTATTTGTGGAGAATAGGTATTTTGTTACTAGAGAGTTGCGAGTGGAGCAGTTGGTGTGATGGTGTTAACGTGGCGCGTGTTGAGGTCTAGTCCAATTGGCTCTTGTCAATGTTTGAAGTAGATGCTTATACTTATTAGTTAATTAGCTTGTTGTTTTCGGTCATCGTCATTGTATAGGATCCTCTTATGTTTTGTTGCTCCGTTGTATTGCCTAGTCCTGCATGTTTCTCTTCTTTTAATATAATTGGCAACTTTTCTGTCTGATTCACACAAAAAAAAAACATCTTTGCTACCAAATAAGTAGAGAGGTAGAGAAGGATTCCTCCTTGAATGGGTGTGCTCGAGTTGGGTTGAAGGAGGAAGGAGCATAGGGTTTTATACTATAGCTAGGAGACTATCGGGTCAATCAACAAACTGGCGGTGATCTCGTTATACCTTTGCCGGGTCAAACCGTGACCTAGCATTAGAATATCAGTGTCAGGTGGTGTTATCAACCAACAGTGATAACCCGACTATAGTTTCCAGTTATTGTCCCTGGTGATCGATCAAGCCGGCTGTGAGAAGGGTCTTCACTGCCAGGTGAATAGAATCGTCCCCAATCATTTTCTGGATTCTAGGCTTACGATCTAGCAGTGATGATCTTACAAGGATTTCTTGTGTCTGTAGCAGTGGATGATCACTTGTGCTAACTTTACAATGTGCAATATGAACTTGAGTGGATGCATAAACATGTGGTGCACAAATTAGGATTATATTGGTGGTGTCTATCACTACCGGAAACTGGGTGTTTGCCGAGTGCAAGAATGTTTGCCGAGTGCATTATATCGGGCACTTGTCAAAGAAGATCTTTGCCAAGTGCTTTAAAAAATATAACAGAACCGACCAAATCATAAGAACATAAGTACAAAAACAATCACCGAAGCGATCAAATTCCTGTACTTAAGCTCCCATAATCCCGGTAGTCCGGAAATCACGAAGGATTTCAGCCAACTCTCGACATACAAACCAAGATCGTAGTGATTCAACACAACACATCATCCGTTACAACATTTCATAAGTAGCATTCGGATTACATCCATCAGAGTTCAAATAAAATATTACAAACCAAGTTTAAATGCGCGGAAGCAACATAGTTTAGTACATAACTTCATAGTTTCAAATACATTGCCAGATCAGAGTCATGTCCCACAAAAGCATTATCAGGTACGAGAACTAGTAGAGACCGCGCCCAACGGCCTAGTCTTCATCCCCAGCTGGGAGAAGGTAGTACTTGCAGCAACCAAAGAAGAACTAGTCATCTGCAACAGGTGGGAGATAAACCCTGAGTACGAGAAGGTACTCAGCTGAGGGGGTATTCCTAACTCTTACCCTGGCTTACTTTGCAAGGGTAGCCGTGGGTCACCTTTGGAACAACTCAGGAACCAAATTCACGGGTTCGATCAGTGCCAGCACTCTCAGGGATTACCCTTCTGCCAGGACGATCAGGACTTTTAAATCACCTGCCCTTGGACTCATGCCTACGGCTCCCTTCCGAGGCGCACTTTATACTTATCGACTCCCGGCCTGAGGTGAGCTACTCGGCTTCGTGGTCGGTCTCCAGACCCGGCCAACTAAGAGAGAGGCATGCATTCAACATGAACAGGAAAGGCTCCAAGAATCAGTCCTTAAGCGACACAGACGGAGTCACTGCAAACCGGCAAGCCTTCGCCCGGTCTTCATTTCAAATTAAGACTGGTTCTTTTCCACGATAGCAAATATAGCCAACCGTGCCACATGTATATTCCTATATCTCGTAGGTGACAGGAAATCACCCGACTTCTACCGCGTTTAAGCAGGGCTAAGCACTACACGAGCCTGAGCTACATAGGATTCAGGGTAACAATATCTGGACAAGGATTGGGTAACCAATGCAGCAATTGTTTGCATCCAACACCTAAACTTAATGCAACAATATATATATATAGATATATAATAATAATAATGTAACTGTATTTTGAAAATTAGGAGGCTTAATATGCTTCGGGGCTTGCCTTTCATAAAGTTGCAAGGACGGTGGTCCGGGCACTCAACGGCGACCTCGTCTGGCACTTCTCCTGAAGGCTGCTCCTCCTGAATCTCCGGCATCGGCTGCTGCTGCTCGTTTGGTTCCTAGAATTCCAGCAGGGTTACTCCTTCCGGTACACCTATTGCATGCCAATGCAAAAGATAAATATCATGGATGCATAAGGAATGACATGATGCTCATGATGAATGAATCACAGTAAGTGTTTACCGAAAACATCACTGGACACTCGTTTACCGAGTAAGACTAGCCCTATTCAAATCACTTTAAGCCTGTATCTAACTTAACTTAAAGAACAAGATCAACTTACCTAACTTGCATAACCTAAGATAAAGATGCTCATCTTCGGTTAAGGGCCTAACACCTAGGAACATTACCACAACTTAGAAATAGTAAAGGTATACATAATTTAACAATTAAAGTTTCATATGCATACAAGTAGTCCCTTAATTCAATCACAACCAGAGTTCTACAAATACAAATGACTTGCAAGAGGACATTTTGGAAAGCTTATGAAATTTTCTACAATTCATCTGTAAACATCAAAGCATGATTCTTGTGTTAACCAAATCAAATTCCAGTAAACTTAGAATCTGTCTAGAAATGACAAGGTTACTAACTTAATTAATTAATGATTGTGCAAAAGCATAATTTGATCAAACTAAGTTTACCAACTTGTTTTTCATACCTAAGAAACATCAGAAAGTATAGTGCCAACTTCTAAATAATTTATTTAATATCCTTTTCCAATTTATTTAGTTAATTAGGTGATTTAAGCAATATATAGTAAAACTATTTATAAAAATCTACAAAAATTACAGTAGCTATCTCATGCTTCACATAGACTAGCATAAAAATTTCAAAGCTATTAGGCAAGTAGAAGTTGCTGTATCTAAAATAACAGATGACATGTCAATTTCTAGCATAATTAGGAAACCTTATTAAAAAGTGTCAAGCAACAGATTTTCCATTTTTCCTAGCATCATTCTAGCATAAGAATAGCACTCATCAAATTTCACCTTCACTGGATCTATAGAAAAATTATGAAAATTCACACAAGATCCACCCATTAATAAAAGGAAATTCTATAACTTAAAACTACACATGCACTAGCTCTGAAATTTTAACCAGAGCTTCTAATAAGCAATAATTGACTACCCACAAAATTTCATAATTTTTGGACCACAGAAACTCAAGATAAAATTCAAACAAGTTTGCATGCATCTAAAAACACAATTCAAAGTCCTATTTAAATCATAAAAAATTTCTAAAACATGTGCTCATATAATATTTTTGTTAAATACTAGACATGACTAGGAACTTGACAAAATTGGAACCATAGCATCTGGAGCTACCAATTAGGAGATACACATTTTTGAATCATGCACACAATTCTGTGAAAAACAAAATAAACAAAACCAAAAACAAGAAATCAACTTCGCAACTGGGCCGGCCCGAACAGATCCGTCGGCCCGCGAATTCGCGCTGGCGCGGCCCAAGACGCGGCGCAGCCCAGCTTGCTCCTGCCGCGCGCGTCAGCGGCTGACAGGGTGGACCCGCGCGTCAGCGAGAGAAGCAGGGGACGGAGGAAGACGACGGCGGGACTCGCCGTCGGTGGCTTCTCCGGCGAGACCAACGGTGCCTACGGGTTCACCTCACCCTAGAGGACCTAGGGGAACCCTTATTCGCAGCTATTGACGCAACTAAGAGGGGTGGCGATGGCCACGGCGGCGCTCGGCCACGGCACGGCCGGCTCCGGTGAAGCTACGACGTCACGGCCCTAGTGGCACACTCAACGAGCTTCCGTGTCCCACCCGGAGGCTAGCGCAAGGGAGAGAAGGGGCGATAAGGAGCTCGAGCAGCACGGCCAGGTGCGAGCTCTGCCGGCGGCGGTCATGGCGACCCGGTGGAGCCGCGCTCACGAGGAGATCTACCTGAGGTGAAAAATGGAGTGGCGGTGGTGTCTCAGGCGTAGAGAGGGTCACGAAGGTGCTGTGGCTTGGACGAATTGGTTAATGGAGCTCGGTGATGGTGGATTTGGCTCGGCGGTGTCACGGTGTCCCGGTCGCCGTGCGCGCGGAGGAAGGAGAGGGAATGCAAAAATGGAACGGGCGACTCGGCGGGCAGGCGCTGGGGGCTTCAAGACGCGGCTGGCCGTGCCATGGCGTTCGCGGCGCGTGGCCTGCGCGCTCAGGCGAGCGGCGATGGGTGGCGCCACGCGGTGTCGTTTTTCTGAATCGGTCGGCCACGTTCACTGAACATTTTCTAAAAAACGCGATTCAACGTTCGATGGTGATGACTGACAGCACGTATTCGACGCGTCAACCCGGCTAATCCATCGATCTATTGCAAAAATAGTATACATGAAAAAGGTAGGCCTACCATCCATCTACAACTTCTTCTCAATGACCAATACCTAAATCGTCGTGGATCCAAAGTTACATGAAGCCAAAGTGGGCTTGATGCAACTGAAAATGTAACTACGACTTAGAATATTTTCTAAGTGTGAAATCAGCATGAATTACTGACTTGT